AACTGTCCCAGATAAGGGTATGAATACTTATGCAATGGAATCATTTAAGTTTTTTATTTTTAATAAATTTGCGAAGATGTTAAAAACCAGTTTTTTGCTTTACCATTATGGTGTATGGAGTATAGATTGATGTGGAAAAAAAGTAATTTAAAGCAGTTTAGCATAAGGCAGCAATATAACAAAACGTGAAAAAAAAAATACTTTCGTAAGGCACTGTATACACTGATGAGGCAGGACAATGAACTGAACAAAACAGGGAGTACTTATACCAGAACTAAACGAGGGGACTAATGAGTTGATTAACAAGGGACAGGTGAATGAACCAATGAAACACATGGGAAAACTGAGTCAAAAGAAAAGTGAACACAATAGGCTTGATCAACTTCATGTGGCACCACAAAGATCGGCTGCCGCCTGACAAAAGCAATACATTGTGGTTGGAAAATTTGTCCGACTTTGATTGGCGCTGCAGCTGCCTTACAATCACACGTGCCATCAAAGTACCGCAAGAGCAAAACAAGACCAGCCGCCTAGGTCAGGCACTGCAGTTGCTCAAAATGGCTGCAAAACCCTTGAAGACAACACACTTTATTGTCATTGGTCAGATTCTGTGATGACAAGGACGAGGTGTGTAGCGTGTTTTTTCTTAAGCTGGCCACACACTAGAGGATTTTAAGGCCGATTTTAAGCCCGATTTGCACCCCTGAACGATCGGGGGGTGTGGCCTGATTCACAGCTTGTCGCAAGCGATTTTTTTCCCCCCAAAAATCCTCTATTGTGTGGTGTCATTACGATTATTAAACTGCTCCCGATTGAGACGGAGCCTCCCCGAACTCGAAACTTGCTACTGGACTCTTGATCGGACTGCCTCTGACATGATACCCGCGATAGCCAATGACAGCGAGCAAGCGTCACCTACCGGATGTTGCGTGCTTCTATAGCTGAAGCTTGGCAGCCACAAACATGCCATGAAAGCAGAATACATCACCCATATTCTTTTCTATACTTTGTTTTTCACTGTGAAACAGAACGTGCGCCAGGAGAGCCAGCTGACAACGTTGATTGTATTCTATTTGTTTTTCTTCTCTAGTCACGTTTGATCTCGCGAGTGTCCGTGAGATTACCTGTCACTGTGAAATCGTTCTTAGAATCGACAAGTGTGCGGTCTGCTCGAATCATCTAGTTTGCGCAGTAGTCCCTCACTGCAGAACAAAGATCCAGGGGGCGGGGTTCTCCATGAGATCTCGTGTCACTGTGAAATCATTCCTACAGTCATCAAGTGTGTGGTCTCGCGGTCTGGTCGAATCATCTAGTGTGTGCATTTAGAGGATTATAAGGCTAAAAATCGGTTGAAACTGTCTTCATGTCTGTGGTCTCCCATGGTTTTAAAATCGGTTAAGATTTGAAAATCGTCTAGTGTGCAGCCAGCCTTAGACAAGTTCCTGTATTTAACCTTTACATTTAATCTTGATATTGAATATCTGATATTCAAACAAAACACACAAAACATTAACAAAAATCATGATTAGGCTATCTAGTAAATACATATTCTTATTGTATTCTTATTGAGTAAAAGTTTGGAAAAAATGTTTTGGATAACCTATTGCTTATATTTGGAAAATTAATGACGATGGTTTAGCACACTATAGAAAGCACGAAGAATCTGACCTGACGACCGTCTCTTTACTCCTCCCCCGCCTACAACTGGCAGATCTCGCCAGCCGGTAGCAGGCTAGTATAGTTCATCTCGAACAAGCCTAATGAAAAAAAAAACATCACATGACCCTGACAGTCATATTGATCTGTTCAAAATTTATATTTCAAATGCACTGATAGTTGCTTTGGATAAATACATCTGCCAGTTGTATAAATGTTAAAATTTGCAATATATATATATATATATATAAAATATACATTATAGAAAATATATACCTTGGGAGACGCTAAAGGGGAACCAAACTACAAGTGAAACTACAAAGGATTAACATAAAAAGGAACAGAGAAGAATCAACATTTAAGTCTAAACAAAGCAGGGAATGCATGACTGGATCTTTATGGGCTTTTATCTGGCCATTTAAATATGACCAAATAAATACTGCTAATACCCTAATATCCCCTCCTTTGATTTACAAACCAGTTGACCCTTCCTAAAACTGCCCTTCTTAGTTACTGTTGCTATGTCTGACAAACCATGCCACTCTCACACTACACCTCATGTTCTCACGCAGTGAAAAATGTAGCTGAGCAAAGAGGAAACTGACAACACGCCGACAGACAAGACAAAGCAAAATGTAAATTTCTGGTATGAAACAAGATCTCGGCTTTCAAATTGTAGCTTTGTTTTTTTTTTAGAAATTCAAACAATAAATACAGTTTTGTGGCTCTTTAATGTGTCGTGACAGATCACTATATTGCCTCAGTTCAAGCGGCACGTGAACGATCATCTTTTCATATTTACTTAAAGCACAAAATAAACATGAATTAACATCAGAAAGTATTTTATTTCATCCGCGGAAAGACATACTCAATACAAACTATTTTTCAAGTTTAAGTCAATCTACAGTGCATTCGGAAAATATTCACAGCACTTCACTTTTTCCACATTTTATGTTACAGCCTTATTCCAAAATGGATTAAATTCATTATTTTCCTCAAAATTCTACAAACAATATCCCATAATGACAACATGAAAGAAGATTGTTTAAAATCTTTACAAATTGTAGTGTCGCCATGACACTCAAAATTTAGCTCAGGTGCATCCTGTTTCCACTGATCCTTGAGATGTTTCTACAACCTGATTGGAGTCCACCTTTGGTAAATTCAGTTGATTGGACATGATTTGGAAAGGCACACACCTGTCTATATAAGGTCCCATAGTTAACAGTGCAGATTAGAGCAAAAACCAAGCCCTAAGGTCAAAAGAACTGCCTGTAGAGCTCAGAGACAGGATTGCATCAAGGCACAGATCTGGGGAAGAAAAATAAAATCTGCTGCATAGAAGGTTCACAAAAGCATGTAGCCTCCATTATCCATAATGGAAGAAGTTTGGAACAACTAGGACTCTTCCTAGAGCTGGCCTCCTGGCCAAACTGAGCAATTGATGGAGAAGGGCCTTGTTTAGACTGGTGACCAAGAACCTGATGGTCACTCTAGTTGAGCTCCATGATCATATATGCAGATGGGAGAAACTCACAGAAGGACAAACATCACTGCAACACTCCACCAATCCGGTCTTTATGGCGGTGTGGCCAAACTCAATACTCTCCTTAGTGAAGACACATGAAAACCCACTTGGAATTGGCAACAAAGCACCTAAATAACTCTTAAGACTGCGAGAAACAAGATTCTCTGGTCTGATTAAACTCAATTCCAAGCATCATGTCTGGAGGAAACCAGGCACCGCTCATCACCTGGCCAATACCATCCCTATAGTGAAGCATGGTGGTGGCAGCCTCATGCTGTGGGGATGTTTTTCAGCGGCAGGAACTGGGAGACTTGTCAGGATCGAGGGAAAGATGAATCCAGCAATGTACAGAGACATCCTTGATGAGAACCTGCTCTGGACCTCGAACTGAGGTGAAGGTTCATCTTCCAAAAGGACAACCACCCTAAGCACACAGCCAAGATAACAAAGGCGTGGCTACTGGACAACTCTGTGAATGTCCTTGAGTGGCCCAGCCAGAGCCCAGACTTAAACCCGATTGAAAATCTCTGGAGAGATCTGAAAATGGCTGTGCACTGACGCTCCCCGTCCAACCTGATGGAGCTTGAGAGGTCCTGCAAAGAAGAATGGGAGAAAGTGCCCAAAAATAGGTTTGCCAAGCTTGTAGCATCAAACTCAAAAAGACTTGAGGCTGTAATTGTTGCCAAAGGGTATGGTTTGTAGAATTGGGTAAAATTATGAATTTAATCCATTTTGGAATAAGGCTGTAACATAAAATGTGGAAAACGTGAAGCCCTGTGAATACGTCCTGGATGCACTGGACTCTCCTGTCGGATTTGTGTTTCGGACAAAATAGCAGATTTGGTGTTATGATTGGTCAGATCTCCTGTCAATCAAGCTCTTTGCAAAGGGTCAATTGTTGTTTTGAGTCAGTGAATCAGTTCTGTTGAACTGTCCTCTTCAATGAATTAAACCATTTCCATGTTTAATAAAAGATGTACGTAGATAAATACTGTTGGTAATGCAGTTTCCCAACCCTGTTCCTGGAAGCACACCACCACACACTACCCAATCAAACACACTTGATTGAACTCGTTAACTTATTAGTAGAGACTCCAAGACCTGAAATGGACGGGTCAAAAAAAGAGAGACATCCAAAATGTCTGTTGGTGTGCCTCCAAGTTGGGAAATACTGTATTAATATTCCATACATAGAAATAAATACCTTTATTATTTTTACTAGGATTTTACAGTACACTGTATTTTTTCAATAGTTGATGTACTTTTGAAAATATCACCCAGCCCTACTTCAAAGTGTCACTCATAATCATGCAACACTGAGACTTTAATTAATGAGAAGACCATTTGGGTCATGTTCATCACCTCTAAGCCAATGCTCCCTTACTCTCAATGCTGTGCACAGATAGTGAGTGTGTGCTTGTCACTAACCCACACCCCCTGGTGTTTGCATGCAGTCATTGCATTCAGCAGATCCTTGAGGCTGTTCTCCACTGCCACCAGATGGGAGTGGTCCATCGTGACCTTAAGGTGAGTAGAGACGAAGAGGGTCTTAAACACCAAGTCCTACTTCTTTGTCCTCTTATACAGATCCAGTATCTTGTGTGGCCTTTAAGGGCTACGAATGGCTTATGATATTGCAATTCAAATAATTTATGATTATACAAGTGCTTAGTAACATATGAAGTCTATGTTTGTCTTAGAGATGGGAATCAAGTGAACAGTGGTATAAAAAAAAAAAAAATGAAGCCTACACAGGTTTAGGTGGGAATGGTGTTTTCTGTCCATCTTTAAACCAAATCCACCACAAGCTCTTGTCAGTGCTAATTTGCCAATCAAATGAGCCAGGTGCAACCAGGAGATTGTTTTCCCTCCTCTTATTATCTTTCCCTGAATTTGCATCAGCCTGAATTCTGCTCAGTGATTGGCTGCTGCCATAGAGTTACCATGGTGAACAGTGACATGCACCATAAAAAAGAACACAGAACAAAACAAAAACAATAGATACAAAACAGTAAGTAATATATACTGTATATTTAAAAATATATTTTGTGTAATATAATTTGAAATATCAAAGCTCATAGGGCAAGAGTCATATAGGCCTACATTTCTCTCCTACTAGCAACCCTCAAATAATATGTTCTTATTAAAGAAAGAGTTCACCCAAAAATTGAAATATCATTTACTCACCCTCATGCCATTCTAAACCATTTGAATGTACAGTCTGTACATTGACCACAGACTCAAGGTCTAAAATGTTCTATAAATAGGCAAAATTGACGCATAGAGGCTGGCTACAAGACAGATATTTGAATATGAACAAGCACAAATGAGATTTAATAGCTGTGGCAAGTTATTTGGAACAACATGAGTGTGTTGTTGGCATAGGAACAACAAAGCAACAAGCGATACATTCTCTTCCATGTTAATCAGAGTTTTTTTTAATCCTTACCAGGCATGCCAAGGGACAAATTTGAATCAAACGTCATACAGTTGTGGATGTAGTGTTTCTCCTTCGCTGTTTAGGAATGTCACTTGAAAGCTTGTTAGCAAAAAGGAGGTATATCTTTCCTTGTTATGACTTGTCCAACAATTTAAAGAATGAGCTGTTGGAGGTTTGCTCTCAGAAAGTCATGTAACTGAATTTTATTGAAGTTATATATGGTTTATATAGAGCCCCTAAAAAGATTGTGTAACAGTCATTTACAAAAAGCAATATCGTATAATTATGAGGACAAATTATTAGTTATGTAGGGCAGACCTTATGGAATGGGGAATGTTTTACTATGCTAATATGTAGGGCAACAAAAGAACACTTGCAATAATGCACTACCAAATTATCCTTAGGGGAATCATAGATCTGCTCTCTAAATCTACTCAATTTGTCATTATCTCTCTTACGCGCACTTCTCTAACAAAGGACAACATCCGGCTATTCTTTATTTTATCTTGACACCTCTGTAATTAGCTTCCGCAGTCCTCAAGTTTCCTCCCTTGCCTCGGGCATTTGATGCTGAAACTTGAGTATAATACATGTAGCTTCTGTCTCTGTAAAGAACAGCACTTCTTAGCTGTGGTGTTTGCAAAGTCAAGACTAGTTTCTAGTTTGCTAAGACTGGAAAGACAAGACACTGAGAATTAAAATTCGTTCTGGCCACCCACAATTGGTCCCGTGAATAATTTTGCTGTTGAAGTCTGCAAAATTGGTGACAATGGCACACCTCATCAGCAAGGCTTTGTGCAAAATGAAAACTAAGTGTTGCCTGTCCGGCTATCTCCACATACTTATAAAGATGCTTGTGGAAGCGACATGCAATTACAAATATATTGTAGTAAAGGAGCTGCATTGGCTCTCGGAATCAGCAGGGTGCTTCTGAAGGCCTACCATCCTGCACAGTTTAGTTCCAACCCTAATCAAACACAGTTGAACCAGCTAATCAAGTCTAGTCTTTAGGATTACTTGAAAAAAACAGCGAGGTGTGTTGGAGCAGGGTTGGAACTGATGTCCGCAGGAAGGTTGCCCTCGAGGGGCTTGTGTGTTAGCTGAACAAATTTAAGGTTGTAGGATTGGTTTCAAGTTAGCAAAACCAAATCAATCTATTCCATGTTTGTTTGTACCATGACACTGATCCTCAACTTTCTCTGTAAACTTTGATCCTGAGTTCATGAATAACTATGGAGCGAGTGTGCATGAAATATGTTGTATCTCAGTGGGATGTTTTCCTGGTTAAATCAGTAGCAAACAATCACATGCCGTGAAACAGCAAGAAAGTATTGCAAGAACGTCAGCATGATTCACTTCTCTCTTGTGCCAAAGGTGAAGATATTGTTAGAAAAAATATGAAGAATTTAAACCCAGTAAGTAGAAAAGAGTTGTCCTCAAAAGCTTATTTTATATAGCTTATTTTTATTACATATTATCTGTATTTATATTCACTTAAACTAAAAGCTTAATATTAATTTTTAAACTGTAATTGCTCATGTGTAATGAACTGAGGGTATAATTTTACAATTAATATGTCAATCCTAAAATAATTATAACATTTATAATTAAATTATTTTACTGTTAAGTGACCTTTATTGTGGAGCAAGAAAACCTTGACTTTATTGGTCAGATATGGCACTTTGCGTATAGCTGATCCAGTTTTGGTTTGAGAGATCTCTTACCCAGAACAAAACCTGCTACAGCGTGGGTTAGCCATGGAGCTCCCTGCCAATCATTTACAAGGCCACCATACCCTAGCATAATGTCAGGGCAACTCATTCTCACTCCCAACTTGTCACATATTGACATTTGGTCAGGATCCCTCTCTATCACTTTTTAACGCTCAGGGTACCCCTTTAGCATCAGATGTGCAGGGTGCTCCATTGCTTTCAATAAGAAACCTTTGGTGTCATAAACAGACGTGATGGACATGGAAATATCGTCATGATGAAATAACATATTAGAGTTTTAATAAATACCTGTAAATAAATATTTAAGTAATACATGTCTGTGATATTGCCTTTTAAGTGTTTTATGTTGTTGAGAAGTGGTAGGTTTAGGGTAAGATTGGGGTTAGGGTTGTTTGTAAGGTACGGAAAAGCAATGACTGCACGACTGTTTCAATTGCACTAGCATGTTAGCACCTTGATCTTCCCAAGGCATAAAGTGAATGTTGAAACAACTAACTGCACCTGACAAATTAGCCTTGTGTCCTTTGCTAATGTCCTGTTTGTACAATAATCACAAGAAAATTAGTTTTTTTAGTAAAGTTTTGACTTCTCTTTCTAGACTCCCCTGACATACGAGTCCTAATCAATGTATTGATTATTGGATATTCAGGTCTAAACTTAATAAAAAATATTAAATAAAAAATTTTAAAAAACAATGCAAATATAATTACTATAAATAATACATTTATGTCAGTAATTGCATATTTAATGAATGTATTACAAGGCTCATATGAAAGGGGTTGTCTGAAGTTTTTTTTTTGTTTGTTTGAAGTAGTTCATTAATTCTCTTTCTTTCTTTCTTTCTTTCTTTCTTTCTTTCAACATTTATAACAAAAATAACATAAACATAATTTGTCATGTGCGGAGTTGAATATTATATAATTATTTCCTCCAGTCTTAATGGGTTATGCAGAGATTGCTAGTGACCTATAACATTTTATGTACAAATTATGCTTTTTGCAAAGAAATGTAAATATCATTCACATGCATATTATAACATTTATGAGAAATATTGAAAAAAATCACTTGAGCACAAACTGTCTGTTTTTCCCCCCAGACAATTCTAATGCAACACCAATTGTTTCTAACAATTACATCACAGTTACAACATTGTAGTTTGTGTGATTATTCATTTTTAAATGGGTTTTAAATGAACTGTTTTTGCTCAGTCAAAACATTGTTCAAGTATGGTCACATAGCTCTTCATGAAGTGCTGCATAACCCTGGAGGCTGTACTGATGTTTTCGGAAGACTTGGTTCAAAATATGTTTTATCAGAGCTTGTCTATTTAAATCATAATTTTAAATCCATTTTAGAAATCTAGGGGAAAAGTCATTATCTTTCTTTTCCTAGTACATGGTATTCTTGTACATTTTCTTAAAACTGTACATTTTGACCCAAGTCTTCTATGAGACATCAGTTCATTGATGATGAGTGATGTCATTTGTTCTCTATAACACATATAATTTGTATACATTTTCTCAATATATGTTGAAGCTATTGTTTTGTCTGTTACCCAAAGCCAGAGAATCTTCTCTTGGCCAGCAAACTGAAGGGCGCAGCAGTGAAACTGGCTGATTTTGGGCTGGCTATCGAGGTGCAGGGAGACCAACAAGCGTGGTTTGGTTAGTATTCACCAAATGGCTTAACAGCACTGGTTTAAAAATGTAATATACTAGTACTGTGATGACTAGACAAAATGTGCGGTGACATAATCAGAGAATGTTAAAATTATTATATTTTTTCCAATTAAGATTCATATGGTTATACCTTTATTCTGAAAAAATAGAAGGGGAACCTAGTCCACTTCTATTTAATATTCTTGTATCCCTGTAATCAGCATATTCCAAATAAACTAAGACATGCAAATTTTTTACTGCTTTTCTCTTCTGGTAGTGTTGAAGATGCTGATCAAATTAAATCTAATTACATTATGCAAAAATATTAGTGATAGTTAGTTTTTTTTGTGTTACTTTAGACTTTGATGTGCATAACTTTTCGGTGTAATTTTTCAATATTTTGTGATGTTAGTGAATGTTATGGGATAGTCTACGGAGAAAGTGTTTTTTTATTATTACTGTCAAATTATGTATGATAAAAAAGTATAATTTTAGAACTTTAATGACTTGTATCATTCAGACACTTCAAGACGTGTTAGTCATTAGTCTGTTATTAATAATCTAAATAGCTTTTGCCTCTTCGCTAAAAATGGCTTTAATTACAGAAAGGATGATGATTATTATTATTATTATTATTATTATTACTATTATTAGGGGTTCAAGCACGTATAGTGCTGAAACCCTATTGTAATTGTTAGGATTTTTTTATTATTATTCATCTGCCCTAAAACTGATCGTGCAGCCCAAACCGTAAGGCCTAGAGAGCTGAAACTGTCAGATCGTAGTAGTCTTGATCGCTACTCAGATCCAAAGACTTGCCTCAATCGGTCAAAAGGGGGCGCTACAGGGCAAAAAACTAAAATTTCAGACATTGTTGTCCCTAGCTCGTACACCGTTTGTCGTAGACTCAATAATTTTACACTTTTGGAATCCTTGGGTCAACACGAATGAGAGATTTTCTCTACGAAGTCCGTTTGTTTGCTCAAAATTGAGTTATGTTCAAAACCTACTTTTGCAAACTAGTCCTAGGTTTTTTGCCTGATCGGAACCGAACCACTGCAGAAATATTCTCTGGACAGTAACTATCAGTAATTATCAAAAAAATTTTAAATTTCGATTTTCACGCGCAACAGTACACAAAAACGTTCAATGCTAACTTTAGCCAATTGCTAAATTTAGCTATAACTCTTGAACAGAATGAGATATCTTCACCAAACTTGGTACACGTGTACGAGCTCAATCTTTGGTAAAAAAAAAAGTTGTGCAGCTCTGCCACTTGGTGGCACTATAAGATGGAAAAAAAACATTAAAACGGCTATAACTACACAACCGTTGGTCCGATCGACTTGAAAATTGGTATGCAGTGTCTTTGTCCAAAGTGGCACAAGTGTCTATTAGGACATTTGCGTATATCAAAAAACATGGCCGCCATTGGCCAAAGAATTTTAAGCACCTATTAGACAAGGTTAACGGAGGTAGACTGAAAAGAAACTCGATGGGCATGTTCGACTCATGGCCCTAAAGGCCTGTAAGAATTTTGAAAGAAATCAGCCACTGGGGGGCAAAATTGCGTTTTTCAAGTGCATAAATGATTGTATATTGCAAGATTTTTCACACCTACACTCAATCTTATCATATCATTTGATAGATCTCCTAATGCTGAGCAACTTTGCCTCAAGAACCACTGCTGTCAACCAAATGGTTAATTAATTATTCTCAATTATGTTAAAAACCTACTTTTGCAAAAGTGGCGCTATAACAGTTAAAAATACCTCAAAAACACAAGATTTGTATAGAAAATGACCTCAAATTGTAGAACATGTTCATATATACACACAAATACTAGATCTTCATATCATATGATAGATCTCCTCATTCTGAACAACTTTGCCTCTAGGATCACTGCTGTCAATCAAACTGTTCTTTAAGTATTTGAGATTATTTAAAAAACCTACTTTTGTAAACTAGTCCTAGATTTGTCGCAGACTGTGGAAATCTGTCCGCGACAGCAAAATCCAGCCAAAAATTCTGTAGTATGAGCCCAGCTTTAGCTATAACGGCACAATTTAGAAAGGGGGCGTGGCCAAATACACCCAAAAGCCTATAAAACCTAAACGAAAACTCAAAACTTTACGAAACTTGGTGAAAACGTGTCAGATGACTCGTAATAAGCATGCAAAGTTTCATGGAGATCGGACTATAGGTGGCGCTATAACAGTTAAAAAGGCCTCAAAAACAAAATATTTCTATAGAAAATGACCTTAAATTGTAGAACATGTTCATATATTTACACAAACACTAGATCTTCATATCATCATTCATAAAACTGTGTAAAATGATGCATAATTTCATTCTAAACAAGCATGCAACATTTAAGAGAGATTGGGCAAAAAATAACACCATAATAGTTATAAAGGTTAAAAACACAGTGTTGAATTAGAAATTGCAATTATAACCACTAGATGGCAGCAGTAGACCACTAATGGGCTCATTCAACTCACTAAAACAGCACTGTTCATAGGTTTGATGTATTCAGGCTTAGCCATTATTTAGTCACTGTTATAACATTTAAAATCACATTTAGTCAAAGTTTACCATTTTGTTCATACAGACATATCAGTTTTTACAATTATGCCAGATTATGATTACAGTGAAACCTGAAAATGACATATATACATTCTTAAAAAGAGAAGACTTGCAATACGTATTGTGTCATCTATCATTTATTTCAAATATCTATATCTGCAACAATTTAGAAAAGGGGCGTGGCCAAATATACCCAAAAGCCTATAAAACCTAAATGCAAACTCAAAACTTTACGAAACTTGGTGAAACCATGTGACAAATTCATTTATTTCAAATATCTATATCTGCAACAAAATGTGTGTGCATGTATGTCTATGTATGTATGTGTGTGTCTGTGTGTTAGCATGCGTATTGAGTATTAATATAATAGTTTAACCATTTCATTCCTGTGTGTGTGTGTGTGTGTGTGTGTGTGTGTTTGTGTGTGTCTGTGTG